AAAATGTAGTCATTGCTTTTATATAGAAATGAGTAACAGCAGTAAATTGTAAAGTATTTTGACATATCCACTAATTATGATTAATTAAATAAGCATTGGGACCAAAACAAAAATTTTTAATTGGAAAATGCTGATATTTTATTACCTTTATCGTCTCATCATGATTATGTTGCAGTAAAATAACACAAGACTGAAACCATAACGATTACGTTTCGGCCATTATTATTGAAATAGACAATGAATTGGTTTTATCTCATGTTCATTTATTTGTTCAATCTCAAATTTATGTTTACAGAGAATCATTGCAAATACGTTAAGGTTTGCAAAAATATCAGTTCTGCAGACATTTTCATTTCTTGCTGCTTCTGAAGTAGAAGATTATTAATGTAAGAACAAATCTTGATGTTCAATTTAATATTACTTATCATCGCAATTTTACATTCTTTTAATAGAGAAATTTTGCCTCAGTTGGTCAATAAAGGATATTCAGATTATATTTTATACAGAAGTGTACAGATTAGACAGAAAATTTGTTGCAAAATTCAAATGTGACAAGCATAAACAATTTTTTTAGTGTTTTGCTAGTGAAGCAGTATTAACGAGTATTTGTAGTCCTAGAACCGAAAACATTCATGACTAGTTTTGATACAGAGAACGCTATTGTACGAACAAATAATGAATTGTGTTTTGCTTCATAATATAAATAAACAAAGATTTTTAGCTTGCATCTCCCAACGAAAGATTGTCAAAAGTGCTAACAGTTCAAAATTTGGTTGAAATTGCAAAGTTAGATTATCTAAGGAATAATTGCAATTTTTTTACGTGATATACAATGCCCACCAAATAGCTGTTGAACTGCAATAATACTCTGGAAAAAATAGTTAAACGAAATGTGTGAAATTCTTTAAGATGTTTATCCGCTTTTTAAGAGTCGTAGATTTTTGCCAAATACACTTTTTTTTTGTGTTTATTATATTTACGACTTATTTGCGTGTATCTGTTTGTATATGCATGCATTTGTTGTTGTGTGCAAAGTATTTAGTATGTGTGTGTGTGCGTGTGTGTGTGTATGTATGTATGTATGTGCATATGCATGTGCATGTGACCTCTTTGTGTTCTAAAAACTGGATTTACTGCTGAAAAAATGAAAAATAAGTTTGTATCGTTTCCTTCTCTTTACTTTTTAAAAATTGTTTTTGACAGTTCTGCACTCTAAAATAGGGTAGTACATGTTCTTTCTTCACAAATACACCACATATCTTGTATATTTCTGTATGAATGTATGCTTACACGTATATATCTATATACGCGTGCGTGTATGTATCCTGAGTGTGTGCACTCTAATTGTAAATAAATATATGTAAATCTATTTTGTGGATTTATATAAGTTAATTTGTTTTACTTTCTACTCAGTAATGTGTTACAAAATTTAGCATTTTATCTTCAGCACGATTAAGATTTGAATTTCTTTTCATAGCAGTATAAAATTGTACTTCTGTTATTATTGTCGTCGTTCTTATTATTATCGATGTTGTTATTATTATCTTTGTTGCTATTGTTGTCGTTATTATTATTATTATTATTGTTATTATCATTATTATTATTATTGTTATTATTACTATCATTATTACTTACATTAGAAGACACATAGGAATATAAAGAATTATTGTAATGATTTTTTAAATAGAATTTCCTATCTAATATTATATGCTGAATAAAATGCCTGCTTTTGCAATACAATTTCTGAACTTCAAGTAAAAAATGGTAATAAGTTACCATTTGCAAATAAATTTGTTAAGTTTTTCGGAAATCATGCTTATTCTCATGACTTTTTTAAATGCTAACTCTCTCTCTAGTAGATGAAGTGGTGTTAAATTATTTCATTTCGATGTAAAGTAATGACTTCAGAAGTTTCTTACGCACTATTTAATTTTGTCTATGTATTATTTAAAATACCGTTGATTACTAGTAAAGATCAATATTTTTTCCTTTTAATAATCAGGAATGAATGAGACAAAACACAGAAAAATAAGGCATGAAAAGTGAAATTGTCACAATAAGGAATTGTTGCATTTTTCATACTTTTCTTTGTCGTGTAAAGTACCACTAACACTGTTGGCATGGTAAACTGAATAAATTAACGAAGATTGTTGCATTTAATATTAGGCTTCTGCCCATTTGCACTAAAACTAATTAGTTTGAGCATTTTTAAGCGCAAAGCAATGAAACACTAACTTCGTAATAACAAGCACTAAAATGTTGTAGATTGAAAGTGTTTGTTACGTGTAGTATTTGTATTCAAGCAGTTACTTTATTTAAAAATAAAAAAAGAGATGTAATGGATCACAGTACCGATTGTTTTAATTACATTATCAAATGTAAGGCTACTGCATTATCAAAAAAACGGGAAATATCGTGAGAGAAGTATAAAGTTCAGTATTTTATTTTCATTTTTAAAAAATTATTCCTGTATAATGGAGATTATTCTTCGATAATTTCCTTTTTTTTTAGTTCTTAAAAAACTCAAAGATTGCGATTGCTGTATAACTAACTGTTGAATATGCATACTGATTTGCTTGAATATCTATATTTGTCCATTTTTAAGATGGACTAATTGTTTGATTTTTTCATCGTTATACGGTTTCAGAAATTATTACTCATATTTCGAAAAATACATAATCTTGATCAACTTTTCATAATATAATTACATTGTGATTGAATATCCTTTTCATGTACTTTTATAAAAGAATATTTACTATCACTGCCTTATAATTGTTTATTTCAACTGCCATATTACTTAAGAAAGATGCAATTTGTAAGAGCTTGTAGAAAAAAAACGTTTAAAATTTGTCAAAAATTTTTAGCCTACTACATTTTGTTAAACTAAACCTTTTTTTGACAAATCTTCATAGATTGAGATTATTATTGTCAAAATGCAAGTAATAGTAAAAATAGGTGAAAGAATTCCACGCAAAAAATAACGGGATCAGTTGCAAAATTATGCCATATCATACCATGCCATTCTCTTTATGACTCTTTTTGCATGTTAAGAACGTTAATAAACTTTAACTCATTAATTTATATTAGAAAATTGTTACATATTAACCTTTCTTATAGCATTTGACTGACTTTCAACTAAATAAACCTCAGAAGTTCATTATAACTTTTGAAAAGATTTATAAAAGGAATATCAGACATAATGTGATAAGGTACGGCACAAATTGCTAAATATGGTGAGTGATATTTATAGGATTAACAAATGTTGTACACTGAAATGGATATTATGATTGAATATTACGCTGCAAGCAAATATAATGATGAGCACTGAAAAATAATCTCTGTAATAGAAAAGCGACATTAATATTTTATCAGCACTCTCAATTTTTTCAAAATATTTTCACAAAATATATATGAAAACAAGATTCGTCTCTTTCTTTGCCTTCAGTTCTATGTTATACTGCAATCACTGAATCACCACTAAAATGATAAATCATCCTTTTTTAATCACAGTACTACGTGCACACGTAGAAATTTGATTTCTTCTTGATTGAGCATATTTCCCTCAATGCCATTGTATACACACAAGTATAAATAATATTTTATAAGTTATATGAAGTTTTTTTTTTTTTTTAAGTGCACGGACAAATTAAAAAACATGGTAATTATAAGTAAAATAATCCAATATTTTTTGGATTCTATTCGCTAAAATCAACTTAACATTTGCCTAGTCATTAATTTTTATTTTGCCTAAATTTTTTGCTATTGAATAAAAATTATGCAAAGTATATGATTTAAATTGCACGTTTTATTTTGTCGAAATGTTTATTACTTGTCTATTCAAAAACGAATGCAGAAATATTTTTTAATTGAAAATTATACAAATCGGCTCACAAACATTGTTGCAATAATTCAAACGATAAAAGAAAAGACTTTTTTTTTATTTTGCCTAAATTTAGTGGGAAATGGTTATTTTAGTGGAAGGATTGATACACAAACATATCAGTTAGAGAAGAGTTATCTCTTAAATGTAGCTTCTGAAAAAAAAGTATACTTGAAAATAAGCTGGTATGTTTAAGTATATCAATTTATTTATATATTTGCTCAACTTTGGATAAACTGACTTTGTGAGAATATTTCGTTAAAAGTTGTGAAGAGCCACAAATTTTCAGCAAAAGTAGCACGAGATGCTTTAAACTTAGTTTCTTTCTATTATCACACTCTTATAACTTTGTAAGAAATATGATTCCTTCTTTAAATTCTCGATTGTCTTATTGATTTGGAAAGTATAGAAAATGAAAAGTATTAATATTCATTTTAAATAATATGTTAATATAACAGACGATGTTTTAATGTAATTTAATTTAGCATTCGTGGAACGAAATGAAGTTTAAAGTATTCGGAAAGGACTTTTTTGGAAGAAATTTGTATTTTATTTCAAACTCTTCTTATTTTATATAAAATAAAAAGAAGATACATTCTGCAGTCCTAAAGCTTTTATGCTCATATTTTAAGTGCATAATTGAAATCTTGCCATATTTTTCTTTTCGCATTCTTGAAGTATTCATATTCTGAATGGTTCATTTCATTTTCCCCTTTTACTAAAAAAAATTTGTAAGTTTAACTTTCATTTATCTGTTCATTCATATTTTGTCAAACTCATTTCTTTCATTAATGACTTACAAAAGTATTGTCTGGGATAAAGATGAAGGATTAAATGAAATAAGCTGCTTAAAAAAGCTACATAAATACTGTTACATTAATTCAATCGATGAACTTTGATGGCTATTTTAAAAGTAAATGTTACATTATAAATCAAAATTATGACAAATTTCGATTGGAATTTAATCGTTATTTTGTGTTATGAATGAAATGAACAATGCGTTTAAGATTACAGCAATACTGATAGTTTTAAGATTACAGCAGTCAATAGCTTGAACGTTTGGAATCAAAAGATTTCCCCAATCCTAACAAATATTAATTTCAGCTGTCCAGTAATAATTATGCATGAATCGGAAAATTCTTCACCAATGTCTTCACCGCGTTCCATTCGTGAATACCATCAAGGAAATGGTACTTTACGTGGTGGAGGTCTACAGAAAGTATTTTATGATGGACCGGTAAATTTGATATTTCAGTTAATCGTTTTGTAACTATAGTTTTTTTAATGTCAGCGATTATGTATATTTTTATTAAATTCATGCAGTTTTTATTTAAACTGTATAGTAGTCATTTCAGACTTTTAAAGCATACAAACGAAAATTAGATTATCGAATGGGATATTGTATCCTGGGTTCTTTGGTCACAATCGCTACCATACTAACTATTTTTGGGTTCTTCCATGAAACTGCTCATGAAGGGTTGCTAGAGTATATCAAATCAACCCGTCAAATGCTTATTGATTTATTGCCTTCTACAGTATCACCGACTCTTGCAGTATCTGCGATCACTGCAGCTAGTTATACTCCAGTTAATACTGATGTTATAAAACCAAAGCTATCATCTACTGATAGCACAGAGTCCAACAGTAAATTTATAGATTGTTTTCTATTTTAAATTTCACTTTCAATAAACAAAAATTTTAAATCTGAAAACGAAATTGATTTTATAATTAAACTTTTTTTTAGTTTGGTGCAGATTAAAATAAAATGTTTGATCTAAAATCTTAAAATCGATATACTTCAGTTTTTTAATGGCTCTTTCATGTACATTTGCTCGAAAATTTTCGCTGATACTATTGGTTTTGATTACTTCAGATGCACCTAGTAATGATATGGTTTTGTTGATGACAGCATTAACAAATTATACAACCATCAAAAGCAATAATGAGTTAGAAGAAGACAGCAAAGAATATCTAAATTTCCCTCATAAGGAATTAAATACATGTTATGGATCAAATGAAATCAATGAAGAGAAGTGTTTAGTAGTTGATGAACTCAACAAATATCACGACATTTTACAAAGCGTACGTTACTTGCACTTTTCTTGATTTCATTTTGAAACATTGAATGAATGTCTTGTAATTCTATACACTATATTACAAATATTTTTAAAAAATCCAAGTCAAAAGCACTTTGGAAGTTTAGGAAAAAGGCATGAAAATTCATGAAAGAATGAGTCATGCAAGCCAGCTTTATTAAAAATATTAAAGAACCAAATTTTTCACTTAGCTCAAAGAAGCTAAATAATAAATTCTGAAGATGAAAAGTATCATCTCTTTGAGTAAATATATTTATTGGCTTTTGTTTTAAACTGAGCAAAATTTGCATAATCAAAAGAATGATAATTCTCATCTTCAAAATTTTTCAGTTAGCATACAAATATTCCTTTTTGCTAATTATTTGAAATACTAAGCTAAATTTACTTTAAACTAAAATCTGAAGAGCTTTGCAATTTTTGATAGAAATTTAAAATATCAATCAGAATAGTAATAAGTATTAATCGTGACAACTAAATTGCCTGTTACTTGAAATGGCTATTCAATTTCTTATAAAATAACTGAAATACCCTGATTTACAGTCCCATATAGCTTTATGGAATTTAGCTATGGTTAATATTATTATTGCAATGATGCTTACACCATTTGCGCTTATATTCAATTTTGAGCTTGTCAAAAATAACTGCTACAAATTAATCTATCGTGTGAGTAAGTTATTATTTTTTTGCTCCTTTTTTATCACTTTAGCTTTTTCATATTTAAAAAAATGTAAATTAGAAGTTAAAGTAAAAAACATCATTAACAATAAAATGAGATCGACGTGTCTGAATTTCTGTTTTTATGATCATCTAAGTTTAATGGATTTTTCTACATTTGATAATTTATTAATGTGTGTTAACAAATAAAAAATACTACAAATGATATCCAGAAATAAAAAATCACTTCCTGTTTTTGCTCTGATCATTAAGTTGCGGTAATTACTGCATATTTTACTCATTATTAAAGTATATCAAGTATTTAAAAGATGAAATTCTGAAAATGAAAAAATCAAATTTCAATTTTAATATTTCAGTACTAAGAAATGAGACTTGCAAGTTTTGCATTTGTAAATCTAATTTATTTTAGGTGATGTTACTTCTGACACTATTCTTCATGGCAGTGCAATTAATTATTTTGATCAATCCACTGCTTTATAATTCTTTTATTCATCCTGATATTGTTGATAAACTTTTCATCGAAAAACTTCCACGGTTCATTTATTTTTACTAATTTTGTGAAAAATAAAAAATTTGTTATTTACTGATGCAAAAATGTGACATAGAATTATCAGATCTAAAAATAAATTTCAGACATGCAATCAAGAAGATCCTATAAATTTAATTAGTAGTGAACAAAAATTTGAGCAAATATAATTACACATATGAAAGGATTGAAGTCGGGAAAAAAATGAAGTCTTTCTTTTCAATTAAATTTGTAAAATAAAGATAAACAAGTATAGAATTATTCAAATGAAGTGCAATCAAGTTTTAACAAATTTTAGAGAAAAAAAACTAACTGACCAAGTGGAATCACGATTTGCTTGTCAGTTTGATTACATCAGTCAGTTGGTTGAGCTTAACCTGCAAGTAATTTGTTTTTCTGAATTTTTTGTCAGGAAGTACACCTATAGCTTCTTGATCTAAGAAAATTCTCGTAGGAACAAAAGTGATCTTTTAGTTGTCTCAATAAAATCCATATTGCCTAATTTTGTGCATTCCTTCACGTATGAATTATTTAGTTTTGCTGATCAATCATTCTAATTCTTCTTCATATGTATTTAATAATTAGGCGCTGGAACATTATGACTTTCTAACAAATTTACTTGCATATGTCATGTTGTGTTAATAATTTCAGGAACCTTGCATTCCTCGAATAAAGAATATGCTTCTTTTGCCATATGCAGTGATATTATTGATAATGATTGATCTAATCCCATTTATATTTGCATTTTTTACGTATGCTTGGGATAAATGGCTCAAGGATTCATCATTGTGCAGTAATGCCAGAAGTCGCATTGAACTTAACAATCAGCGAAGGTAACATTTCTCATCATTTCATTATTCTCTTACGAAGATGCTAATAGAAATACATTTTAAAATAGTTTGTTACGGTGTGCTAAGATTAGTTTCAAGTTTTTTGTTAGTTTAAGATGATTTTGTGCTATAAGTGTTTTATTTTCATACTGACTACTGTTGATAGAAGTACAGGTTGGATGTGTTTGCAGGTGTCAGTAACACCTTTGTTACACATTCCGTTAAATTCTGGCATTAAGTTGAGAAGTTTAAGGTAGAAGCTTGGGTAGCAGAAAGGCTTTTTGACGATCTAATTTATGAGCTTCAAAAATCGGTTTCTAGCACGTTGCTAATTTACATAACACGAGAACTAAGTTATACAAGAAGTTTTTCAATGTATATATCCATCAACTTTGTCATATACAGTTGTTATATATATACTCAGCGTTAAAAAGTCCTTCAAGTTGAGAAAGATTCAAGTTGAACTAATTAATAAAAACTCAGTTTTTGACCACTTAAATAATGCCACATATTTTTTAGACCACAATCACGTGAGGATATCTTAAAGAAAACAATGAATGAACCGCAATATGTATAGAATTTAATCTTTTAGTTTCAACTCTAATGCTCTTTAAGATTTATAAATGTTCAAAATCAGTAATTTTTTTCGGCTATTTCGAATTACTACAAGCTGTATATGAAAAATATATACATATATATATATATATTTTTTTTAGTTCTTATATATATATAAGAACTAAAAAATAGCCGAACTGAGTATGTATTTCTTATGAAAAGTTCATTACCTTTGAAGGAATGATCAGAGTATAAGATTATTACTTAAAGCTGGTTAATTTCAAAAGTAAATCATAAAAGGATTGCCTAAAATTTCCAAAGATATTTGTGCTTACTAACTTTTCATAATTCTTGTTTATCTACGAAAAAAACTAAACTAAACATTTTTTGCATTGCATACTTACTTTTTTTATGTATTTGATATTCGATTTTTAGCTACTTTCCGTAATAATTGTAGTTGTGATTTCTTATTCATTGATATTGTTATACTTCTTAAATGATAAATAATTGAATTATTATTGAATTGTTGATCAATTATAGTTCGCTGCCTAAGAAAAAAATTTTTTTCTATTCCTGATGAAACGAATTTTAGCTTTGCCATTTTTCTAATATATAAAAAAATGTTCACATCATTCAAAAATATATTCCAAAGCATATTACTGATTGATTTAGAAGTATAAACTTGAAGACGTTTCCTTATTCAAATAGTTTTATATACAGTGAATTATTATGGTTTTTTGTTTTTCAAACTACTCATAAAACAAATTAAATATTCTTTAAATTCAGCAAAATTTGTAATATTATCTACGCTAATATCATTAAATTTGCTGAAAAAAAAACTTGAATTGTTTAAAAATCCTATGAAATTAGAATGAAACTTACACTTCTTGCATATATGTGATTTACTAGAGCAGTCTAATTTTTTTACTCCGGTTTAAATTGCGCTAACTTATAGCAAAACTGCAAATTTCTCAAAAAGTAAAAATTATAAAAGGACTAAGTAGATGCTTCTGACGTCGTTTAGAAATAAATACAATATCATGCATACTAAGGGCTAATTCTGAAGAATCATGCAATATAGCTAAATGATATATTGCATGATTATCTAATCTTAGCTGATTTATCCAAATCTAACTGAGCTATTTTACAAAACTTTTGTAACTTGGAGTAAATTTTACTGCTGTAACTTATACATGACCACAAAAGTATCTGTAAGGATAAAAGGTGCAAATTGTGCATACTTATAAAAAATTTTCAACTTTTTTTTCGCGACAGTTCAATTACTAGTCAAATTACTTTATTTAAATATATTCGTCACAGTAATTTAATATTAGATGGAAATAAAAATCATTTTAAAAATCTTTGAAATGAATTTTGTAACAATTTCAGTCCTTCATCTACCACGTACCATAATTTTATACTCAAAAATGAGCTGCAATAGATTATCGCATCACCATTCTGCTGATTGATCAGGTGTTTCATATATATCTTCATTAGACGTTTCTAATGAAATTTGTTCGTTTTCGCTATTTGTATTGTTTGCACTGTCATTACGGAGATGCTTTAAACTAGATGACAAGTTAAAGCTGACTGTCAAATCACCATTAGAAGCGTATAATTCTGGAATTGATTCAGCTGAAAGATTCTGATCTTCAAAATTGTTACTTTCAAAAAATTTGCTGATTTCTGGGTCCACATCAGTGTACATCTTTGCCAGTTGCTCAATGTTAGATTCATATGCGCTTATTTGCGATGTCAACAATTCTTTGACTCGCTCCTTTTCGATCAGTATTTCATCGATATTTTTGAGCTTTTCGTACTTTTGCTTCAAATTTGTCAATTGAACTTTAGCAAGTACCAATTCTTGCAAAGCTGTGTTCAATCTTTTTTCTATGTCAGCAAACAGTGTCTGCAAAAGAGATTGAAAAAAATATTGAATTTGCTAACCAAATAAATTTGATAGTATTCAATCACTGTAATTACTGAGCTATTGTAAAAAATGAAACTTCAAATTGGTGTCTACAGTCATTCTTCGAAAATAATTAAAATTGTCTAATAGCCCTTCATCAAAGTTTTATGTCACTCAATAAAACATTCATTTTATTATCTTTGTTAAATTGATGTGGTGATTTACATGCATCTTTTTTGTATATTATCAATGATGCAGAAAAAATAGAAAGAAATGACTTACAAATGGGTTTGTAGAGACAAAGATGAATACCAGAGTCATGAAATACCACAATAATAAGGAATGCATAATTTGGAACTGAAAAAAAGTGAATAAGCGCGCTGAATTTAAATAAACAACGTACGTGCTAAGGATCATACTTGCTACAATTTATTGATTTTTTATTTGTTATCTTATGGTATAGATAATTTATTGCAAATAGTCTAAGCCATTTTTATCTAGTCGAATCATTTTCATTTTTAATTACTCTCACAAAAAATCGCTAATAATTTAACTGTTGATTTCTTTATTGCTCCAGTATATTGCATTTCAATCTAAACTACTTGCTCTCAATTAATATTATTTTTAGTTAGTATAATTTAAGAACTCTGTATCTAAAAGACCAATGCATGTTAAAACAAGAAATGGTATTCAAATAATCTAACGCAGTTATTGCAACACAAAGTTTTGTGGCCTTTTTAATATGATTGTGCTGTCATTATAATAAATATTTATGATCGGTTCATGCAAATTTTTGTCTGATTATAAGCCCCACATGACATTTCATGAATATTTTGCGATGGTTTTGTTTTTCTTGATTTTTTATCAGCTTTTAAAAAAAGTTTATGGAGTGGACAATAAAGGATACCTTGAAATTTAACAGCATAATTAATTATGATATGCCATACATCTATTATAACAAATTTTAGTGAACAGTGACATATCAATCGCTTTCCTAAAAAAATCAAAAAAGTTATGATAGTGTATTTACCAAACAAGTCATATTAGTTTTTCTTTTTAAATTAAGTTAAAAATTAATAGAACAGCCAATATAAGTTGAAAAGTTCGAGAAAGTATGATGCTTGGTTCGTTAACATGAACTTTGTTTACAAAATAATTTTTCCGCTAAGTGAATGTGCATCTGAATTTTCTAAATCTTCAATTAAAATCTCTCATATTCAATTTTTGGAGTAGTGCCTTGAAATTTGTATAAACGCAGAATTAATAACTTGTATAAATAATTAGTGTTTTTTTTCAATTTTTTCACATTTTTTGATGTAATTGCCAAAACTTTTTGCATCATACATCCAAATTGCATTTTACTCAGTGCCTTAGTGCATTGCTCTCATTTCATTTCGCTCTAATGCAAAGCAGTGCTGTATGTAAAAAGTATTCATCCATTTCTCGATCATCACTTCAAATTTTTTGTTGCTAAACATTACGAACATGCCTGTAGAATTATGCAAAGCCTCAAACAAAATCGCTGCAATATTTCTGAATGCACAATACAAAGAGTCTATACTTGTTCGTTAACTGAATACGACAAAAGTCAACATTGTATGGTGTCAAATTTAGCAACTTTATTTATATTTACAAACAGATTCCCAATCTCTTTCAATTTATCGGTGAAATAAATTGGTCAGTTTGTGTTGTATAATATGGGTTACTTTTAAAATATCGAAAGTATAGCACTGATGGATTGATGAGTTTGATAAATAAAATTTATGCAAAATTTTCGATTCAAATACTATTTCAAACTTATACCATACATGTATATAATAAAACATATTCTGTTATGAAACTTAATTCCTTGTTTATCTGATTTTGTATCTTTTAGACTATTTTTACTGATAGAAAAAAGATTCTTCTCGTTTTTATGATAGAGCTTCTATCAAGAGAACTGAAGTGAAGCAAATGAAAGATTTTAAAAAAATGGAAAATAAACTAAATTGTATTTTTTAAATGACTATTAGAAACTCTTTTGATTGCTATAAACCTAATTTCAAATAGATAGCATAACCTATTTAGAACACTGCTTGCAATGCTAGAATTAACAAAATTTGCAAAAAGTATGAATAGCGATAAAAATGCGTGTCTAACTGCTCAAGTTTGAATTTCAGAAAGATTTTCTAGACCCTTCTGTAACTAACACAAAATGTTTAATACTTATACTTTTGTACACTAATATGATTTTCTTTGTTTTGCTCTACTAGCATTGACGACCTGTTGCAGATGCTTATTAAATATTCACTTTTGATGTAAAAATTATTGAAATATCACAAGGCAAAGATAGAAATATTATTTTGCTGATGGAAACAAATTGAGGTCAAAATATTGCTGATGTGTCGGATTAATTCGCTGGATTTTCAAAGCATTTATATACCGATTGTCAAACAACTTTTCATATTTACAGTCAATCATTCCAAAATTATGCAAAAATTTTTCCATTTTTGCATTTAATAATCTGGGAGTTTTTAGCCTGCTTCCAATTACTTCAATTTGTGCCTAGCTGCTAATGTATAAATGTAGGTTTTAAATATTGAAATCATAAAAGATTTGAAACTAGGATTTACGAACTGCAAAAAATAAATGCATATATCAAAACATTTTTTAAATTTGAAGAAAAAATTTCATGATCACAATTGAAGCAGTTTAAAGTGCGATTTTGAAAATAATGCAAATATTAATAATTTTTGAGCTCATGTAGTCTAACAATAAAAAATTCTGCACTGTAATGGTCGAAAGAAACAGCAACATTTTGCTTGCAGCTATTGTCAGCTTAATACTTTTCCGAGGTACCTGCTTTTTATGTTTCAAGTATTAAATTTTATGCGTTCTCATTATTTGAAAGCTATTTGTACATAAATTGAAATCGGTCTTATAGACGTATAAAGATTATAGTGTCTATTTGAATTACTCATCACTTTTTTACTTTAAAATGAATGCGAAAGATTTTAGAGCTATACATTTTTATACGAATATTTACATTTTTATAGGTGCGATCAATTTGCAATGTTATATTTGCGGTGATGACAATTTGGATGAATATGGCGAATGTCGAGCACAATTTCAATATGATTGCGACGAATATGCAAAAAATTTTGAGCCTACGGAAATGATTTTATGTCGAACGTTAAGAAAGCAAATTAGTTCAAGTAAAAAAAGTTTCAATTTCCAATATCAATTTAATAGCCTTGATTTTAACTTGTTCCTCATAAATAACTCTTATGATATACAGTGGTACTACAAAGTCATTTATTTTATGCATTTATAAAGTTGTCATAATAAAATTCATAAAACTAGCATATATTGAACTTCTTGCTTTTCAACTATCAGTTATTTAATTACTAATTTCTAACAACTGTATAAAATGCATAAAATAAAATAGATTTTCTCATATCAACTAAATGTATTGATTTAAATGACATTAGCAAAGAATTAGTAATCTGCTGATCAAAAAATTACAAATTTGATTATCGTAGATAACTACGTGATTTTTCATCGCAGGTAACTATATGATAATGAAAGAATGCATCAGTGAACATGATCACTTGAAAATTTTTCCATCAAAGCAATCAGCTTTTGATGAAAAATGTGATTTAACTGTTATCGACGGAAATCAGTTTGCATACTGCCTATGCCGGAATAATTTATGCAACGCAAAAACGATTCTCACACAGTTTGACGATTTTGCTGAAGTAATTCGTATTGTTGAAAACAAACAAATATACCAGAAAATAGCGATGAAAATAGCAAAAATTGCTCCACTTTTTTACGTGATAAAAAGAATTATTCAATAAAAACTATTGAATAAGAATCCTTCTGACTATTTCCAGTCTATGTAAGAAATTCCATCTAGAGCGCAATTAATGTAAACAATTTCTCTTAACATAGAGGGACCTTTTTTTTCAAGAGATTTCAGAATCATTCAAAAAAACGAGAATACACTGAAGAACAAATGAGTAGAAATGATAGGCTCCCATATATTCATAAAGTAAACTACTTAACATGAAGTATTTATTTAATGTAATATTCTTTCATGACAAGCAACTGCTGATAATTTACTTCAAAAAACTCTACTGTCAAATAAAAGTTATGTCTTATTCTTAGGAAAATCTGCATTTCCATCGTACAACTGTGAAACCTTCTGCTAGCAACCAACGATTTCATGAAGACTATGAAGGTAGAGATGACGATGACACTGGAATCAGTCTTCCATTAGAACAGTTTAAGGTTA